CTCGTTTCCAAACGGGAAAAACGGTCGCCGCGGCGCGGCCCGAGCCCGCACAAAGGCAGCGCGCGGCACCGCCGAAACAATGGCCCCCGCCGGGACAATGGCCCCCGCCGGGACAATGGCCCCGCGCGGGGCCATTGTCCCGGCGGGGGCCATTGTCCCGGCGGGGGCCATTGTCCCGCTCGCTGCAGAGGACCACAAAGACCTGCGCGCTCCCTATACACACACACACATACATATATATATATATATATAACGTGACACGCGAACGCAACATGGTGATGATGAGTGGGGAGGAGGGGGGGGAAGAGGGAGGAAGGATCCAAGTGTGGCCGCGGCTCCCGCTTTTCCTGCGGCTCCCGGCGCGGGCTGCAGCGGCCGACATAGAACAAGGAAGACAATTCTCTACTAACCGTGGTTTTGACTGGCACGTACAGCACTTGCTTCCCTCCTCCAGCACCACCACTGACCTCGTCCGGATGGCCGAGCTGGAAGCCTTTGGATTTGACCCAGAATTTGAATTTGGCGTTGTCCGCGGAGCTCGCCTCGGAGCCGTTGAGGAGCTGCACGATGCGCTCGTATTTCTTGCGGGTCACCGTCTTGGTCTTGCCCGAGTCCCCGTAGGTGCGGAGGCACCAGTCCTGGAAGTGGCGGAACATGTCCCGCTCGCCGCCCTCCATCCTCGCCCCGCGCCTCGCACCTGCTCACCCGGCGCTCATGGAAAAACGCATCCAAGCCCGGAGCCGGAGCGCGAGCGGGTCCCGGCGCTCGCAGATCCCAGATGATTTTTTGTTGTTGTTGTTGTGGTGGTGCCGGGCGGCGGGAGGGGGGAATGGGGGGGGACGGGGAGGGGGATGGGTGGGGGGGTGCAATCAGTTCTCTAGGGTAGCAAAGCTCTCCATTTTCCTTTTTGTTTTAATTATTATTATTTTCTCAGACTGTGCCGGCTCACGGGAGGCAACGCGGGGCTGGCGGAGGCTCCTCGGGTCCTGGCGGCGCACGCGACGGGTCTCCCTGAGGATGGTGCCGGCAGGACCGTCCCGCCGTCCCCGGCAGCGTCTCGCCCGCGGATCCGCGGATCAACCATTAAAATCCCATCCCTCGGCTGAGCGCAGGGCACGGAAAGCATCCGCTCGGGTCCTCCTCCTTCCTTTCCATGGCTCGGCGGCACCCGCGTCCACCCAGGATGGTGCAGGTGGAGGAAAAAAAAAAAGGGGGGGGGGGGGGAGGAAAACCCGGGATAACGGGAAGCGGCGCGGGCGGCCGCTGCCGGCGCCGAAGGGCGCTGCGCTGCTCCCTATTGCGGGCCCGGCTCCGCTCCAGGCATCCCGGCTCCAGGCATCCCGGCTCCGGGCACGGCGGCACCGCGGAGAAACAAAGTTCTTACCTGCTACGGGTTTGGGCTTTCTGATCTGCTTTTTTTTTTTTTTTTTTTTCCGGATAGTTTTTGTTTTTCTCCTAAGCCTAACGCGTCCGATCCGCGTTTAAAGTGTGTGCTTTTATTATCGTGGCTCTTATGATTGGAAACGCTCTGCGGGCGCTTCCCTTCCTCCCGCTCCGTCCCTCTCCGTTTGCGGATGCCTCTGGAGCAGATTCTCATCTATTTATTGACTTAGCGATCCCAGCAGATGCAGGAAAAGGCAAAGGAGGAGGAATCCACGCAGCTCCCGGAGGTGGGAGCCGCGGGCGAGCGCGGCTCGCGGCCGGGCTGCGGGAGCGGCG